GTCTACTCAAAATCTTTTGCCTAAAACATGGAACCGAACGATCACGCCGTAGTTTGAAAAAACTAAACTCCCATAGGAATAACTTAATCCTCTCAAAAAGGCTATGATTTCTTTTTCATACAAAATCAATCATCAGGACAAACAATGTACTGAGACGGATAATTGCAGTGATGTCTGAACAATTAGAGATATTTTCCCAAGCTATTGGAATTTCAAGATTCTGCCGTTTGTAGATTTAATGGCATGTAGTAATGATTTAGCAATGAACGTGGAATTAAACTCATACATTAAAACTTAAAATATCAAGTGTTTTCAATGTTATAACCCTTAAAGAAAAACTTAAAAGACAGGTCGTGATTTTTCTGTAGAGAAATCGATTCGAATATTGTCAAGGCCGATTCATAGTACGGCCGAAAGTAAAAGCGAAGCGAATTTGACGATAAGTGAGAATCATTGGAAATTTCAAGAGTCCGTGCGACTGATTGCTTAGTCAACACTACCTAACTTTAGTTTCTGTTCAGGACCCACTTTCTGCTTACTTTTTGAAAAGAAATAATGGATTTCGTTGTGAGCATTTTATATACGGTAAGGTTAAATTATTGTAAACACCTATTGTTATCACAGGCCTATAGAACATGTATAAAATTTATACACTACGTGCAAATGTATTTTATTTCTGACTGCACTTTGTCAGTAAGAGGAAGAGTTTAACACTGGGAGAAAGGTGTTTAAAGACTGGGAAGAAGGATCGTAATATCTTTCAGTTAACAGTAATCTGAGCATCTTTTCAATTATACAATTATAAATAGCATGACATTGCACGACATATCCCTGGTCATGGTCGAGTGAAAGCGCTAGCATTTCAGAAACGGCGTACCTCTTAATTTCACAAGAACGCCATTGCTAACCACTAACAGATAAAGAACACAGCCTCCAGATGTTTGGGCGGCCAAAAGGGCCAAAATTAATTTTAACAAAAATAAATAATTACGAGCAAACACAATCTTTGGCCTTGGGTTTTTTTTTTCCAAACAAACAAACTCAACGCGAATCAAAAGAAAATTCTTAACCAAACTAACTTGGCTCCATCGTTGGGGGCGTCCTATACCATACTCAACCATTGTGTTGGCGGGCGCGATTAGGTGATGTCCACGATCACGCAAGCGGGCTGTCGATTTTGTTGCCCAATATTATTTGGCAGTAATTTTGACATAAACTAATTGCCCTTTGTTTCTGGTTAACATTTATTGAAGATTGTTTCCAAACGGGGAAGTAAAATTGGAGAATTCATGCAACTATCTACTGATAGCGCAATGCTTTAAGTAAAAACAAAGGGCAATTAGTTGATGTCAAAATTATTGCCAAAATAATATTGAGCAACAAGATCGACAGACTCCGCCTGCCAACACAATGATTGCGTATGGTATAGGACGCCCCCAACGATGGAACCAAGTTAGTTTGTTTAAGAATTTTTTATATATAACGGGTTTGCCC